CGGCACCTCTGTAATCGCTAGCTGCTCAGGGCTCAGTGGCCAGTGCTCACAGGACTCTATAGACAGCCTCTGTGGTAAAGCCTCAGAATGGTGGACTTTGTACTCCGAGGGACCCATGACCCCACCCGGTCCCTGTGACACCCTCCCAGAAATGGACTCCGAGCACAAAGATGGTTTCCACACCCCCATGTCCTCATCCCCAGCCAATCGGCAGTGCCTATTCCCTAACCCCACCCACCAAGTTCATCCTTAGTTAAAAATTTGTTAAGATAACCCCCTAGTCTAAAATTATTGAGGAGGTGGATTTGAGCAGGAGCTCCCGTCCTTCTGCTCGGTGGCCTTGTGCTTATTAAACTCTTTCTCTATGGCCACAACTGCTGTCAGTGTATTGATTTTTCTGGGCAGCGGGCATAAGAACCCTGTCAGGCTGAATACTCCCAACGATCATTTCCCCGTTCTCCTTTGTTAGGAGATCCCCAAATTGGTGCAGGTCCCCCAGTCATACACTTCACTCAGATAATCAGAATGCCTCCATAGCCCTTGCCAGTGAATGGCTGTGATGTCTGGAGCCGGGGCAGCGGTGTTGTGGCTGTGAGGTGAAAGACCCAGAGGGCAAAACTGACAGGCTGAGAACTGCAGGGCAGAAAAATAAAAAGAATATGGTTGAGCTGCTGGATTAACCAATGTCTAGGTCACTCAACACTATTTGTTATGTGAGATGTAAACCTTCTCTATTACTTGAGCCAAATTGAGTTGGGCTTTTAAGTTTCTCAAAAATGGAAGCATTCTGATACGGAAGTAAAAACATGATAGCAATCTAGATGGCCCCGTGAATCCTTTTCTATGTACACTATAAGGAGTGAAGCTCTGAATTCAAAAGACTGGCTTCTGGTTTTCACAAAGAAACTCTAGGAAAAAACACATTGACTGAGCATGCCAATATGCTGCAAGGGAGTTAGGCTTACCCTTTTTTTTGTCTTAATTTTTTGAGTTGGGGTCTCACTCTGTGGCCCAGACTGGAGTGCAGCGGCATGATCGCAGCTCACTGCAGTCTCGACCTTCTGCACTCAGGGGGATCCTTCCACCTCAGCCTCCCAAGTAGCTGGGACTACAAGCATGCACCACCATGCCCGACTAATTTTATTTTTATCTGTTTGTAGAGCCAAGATCTTGTTGTGTTGCCCACGTTGTTCTTGAACTCCTGGGCTCAAGCAATCCTCCCACCTTGACCTCCCAAAGTGCTGGGATTACAGGCATGAGTCACTGCACCTAGCTGGTCATTGGTTTTTGTGCTTTGGAAAGGTCGACTGTGATTTGGACAGGAATAAGGGGTTTCTCAGCTCAAACTCTTCCTGAGATTGCCAAAATCAACGACAATGTCTAATAAAGTTTCTATATTTTCTTTTTTTTTGAGTTGGAGTCTCACTCTGTCGCCAAGACTGGAGTGCAGTGGCCGCTCCCGGCCACCGCAGCCTCGACCTTCTGGGCTCCAGCGATCTTTCTGCCTCAGCCTTCAGAGTAGCCGGAATTACAGGCGTGTGCTACCACACCCGGCTGATTTTTTGATTTATTGTAGAGATGAGGTCTTGCTGCCCAGGCGGGTCTCGAACCCGCAGACTCAGGCAATCCACTCACCTCAGCCTCCCAAAGGCGTGGGATTACAGGCTGAGCCACCGAGCCCAGCTTCTATATTTTCTTTAAACTAGGAGTTGGTCCTGCCTTTCAGAAATTTTCCCTGATCATCTCACATTCAACACCTTTGACATTTATATATTCTGTCAGGAGACTTCGTTGTGTGGCTTAACCATTCTGGATTTATCGGTGTGTGTGGAGTCTCGCCAAGCACAGCAAGTTCCTAAGCTTTCCGCCTTCTCCTGAGCTCTTATGATAGAGCTTTGAAAATGGTAAATGGCCAATATTTGTAAGCAACTTAAAACGTAAAGTTTGCTTAGTAATTTAAATTAAGTAATTTAAATGAAATACAAGTAGACACATTCATTATAAGAAAAATATGGCCGCTTTTCTGCCCTAGATAACCAAAGGAAGACAACGACAGGTGATTGTATATTTTGTTTAATACTTGCATTGTTTCTATAGCGCAATTATAGCAATCTTTAAATTTACTTTTCATTACAAATATTTGTCAAGTTTTGTTTCAGAAACATTTTTCCTACTCTCTTGCACATGCACCCAGACACACTACAAAAAAACTCATTCATAACACGGTAAGGGCAAACATTATTCATGTAAACATCTCTCATTAATTTCCCATAATTTAAAAAAATCATAGAATTATAGATATTGAATAAGGCTCATAGATTTAGTTCAAATTCCACAAAAGACCAAAGATGCTCGTTCACCGTGAGGGGGTCACTTTGGGTTGCAGCAAATGCCGAAAGCATACCCCTAACTTCTACTCCTTAAACATACCTCACAACCTCATAAATGCATTTCGGGGTGAAAACGGAACAAAGGAAACCCAGGCGGAAAAACTTTGGAAGTAGGGCACTCAGAATGATGGACACAACTGTCTTAGATGGTAAGCAGGCATCACACAGGCCCTGTGGTTCCCTAATACATGAATCAGGATGGATGATCGTAACCCAACATGTAACCAAGGAGATATGTTAAGATACGTTGGCGTGTGTTCATATTGCTCCTATACACAGTGAAAATTTGTCAGAATATTGATCATTTCATTATATCCAGGACCAAAGTGGAAAAAAAATTCCACTCAAGTTGAATATCATTATCAAGGAGTTTTGTTTTTCTCTTTTCAGTAACGTCAGAGTCAGGAGAGCTGGGAGGTATGTTCTAGGGGTGTGATTGGTCTTGAGATTAAAACCACTTCTAACCACTGTGTAAAATCACAGACAGAGGAAGCAAGGCTTTTCATTATCCGAAGACGTCTCTCTCTCTCTGGTCGAAGTTTGGTGCCCAGTCTTCCAGAGCGGAGACAGGAAAGCGACTGTGCTGACAAATGGGCCCCTTGCCAGCCGTTCGCTTCTCCCTCCTCTCTGCCAGGAGGAGGTCAGAAGGCGGAGACGGCTGGCAAAACCGTGAAGTCCCACCCTGGGGTCTGAACCCCAACTCCACTGAGGGCAGCCTCCCTGACGTGTGTGAGACTAGGCAGTAAGGGTGGCGATGGTGGCGGCCAGGAAACCCCGTTCCGAGGGTCCCCTGACCGAGTCTGGCTTCTGATTCTGCTGCCCTGCAAAGAAATTGTGCTCCGGGTAACTGCACCGGTGTCTCTAATGCCTCTGATTCACTCCCAGGCCCTCGCAGGCCCGTAGTGATGTCACCAAAGGTGAACACACCTCCGTTTAGCACCTAACTTACCACCAGGAAGCGGCTGAGGCACTGGGGACGCCTACAACTCTCTCCAGCTGCAACGCCGAGGAAGTTGCTGTGAGCCAGAGTTCTGTGTAGGCTTTTGATTTTTTAAAAATCAAAGTTGATCTGCATTACATCTCGATAGACTCAGATAATTCTCACCAAAATTTGTGTAATGTGTTTAAATAGCACTGGAATAATTCAACTTCATTTAAATAGATTCATTCTACCATGAAAATATTTCATACAAACATCTATTTACATACAAACACATTAAAATTTGTGAAAGGGGTTTCTAACCCCGTGGTTGTATGGCTTGAAATAGTTTCATTGCTTTGAATATGTATGCACACATTTGGCAAAAGAAAACTATTACAATTTAGTATTTTTAAAATTAAAAACAAAACAAAACAAAAATAAACAAGTGACACGAGGCTCCGAATTCCTGAAGGGAAAAAGATCAAAGAAAAAAATAATCTATCAAGGTATCTCACGTAGATGTAAATTTAATATATTTTGTGAACCTTTGATCTGTGGCAAATAAACATTACAATGGTCAGTCTTGCAACATAGTTTTGTTCGTTTTTTGTTTTTTTCTAAAACAAAAGATGTCTGGAGTCTAAATCACCACTCTTAAGACAGAAACTTGAGGCAACTGTCTTAAAACAAAGCAAAACAGAAAACTATACCTCTGCCTTCTTGGAAGATTTTCGAATGCATTTTGCAGTGAGTGATTTCATTTTTTAAGAAGTATTTTAAATGAATGTTACAAAAAGTGCCACAAACTGTCTCAACTGAGAAGACAACCCTTTCATTCACTGTTCATCATGAATGCAATCTTAATTGTTATCATTAAATGTTAACCATGGTTCCACTTGGCTCCACTTGGCCTTCCTGGCCTTCCAGGGTTGTTGGTGATAAGGAAATAGTTTCTCAAGTGTGAAGAACCCCCAGAGGGCAAATAGATTTAACTACAGTCCCCTGACAAGTTCCAAGGGAGTCTTGAAAAACAAATTTCCTTCTTAGTTTCTCAGGCAGACCCAGGGAAGAAGCCGGTCAAAACAATAGGCACTGCAAGACTCAGACCTCCTCACCTGTTGCTTGTCAACCTCATCCTTCGTGTTGGAAATTCAGTCCTGACAGTTGTTAGTCCGTTCAGAATGTCCACCTGGGGACATGCCCCTATGGATTAGTTGCTATTCCTAACTCTAACACAAGAGCATGTTTTGTCTTAAAAAGGATGCTGAGGGTTCTGGCCATGCAGGGGTTGGACTGAGACAACTCCGAGTGAATTTCCTCGAGACCCCAGTGTCGAGCCCGCCATGGACTCTCACGGCTTTGGGGAGGACAGAGAGGGACCTCATGCTCCCCTGCCACACGGAATCTCCCACATTTCTGTCGTACTGAGATGCTGATGGAATGACCAGGATTCAGGGGCTTCCTGACAGCTTCCTTCCGCAGGCACGTGAGGCAGGAAAACACGCTTGGAGGCTGTTCCACCTGCGCTCAGGCTCAAACGAGGACCAAACCCCGAATCCCTGGACGGCTGATTCTCGACGAGACCCCTATCCCCGGGATGTCCTTCCCCACCTGCAAAACTCGGTGACCCTCAAGTACCCCTCGGGTTCCGATCTGGGACGAAGTCTTTGGGCATGTGTGGGTGTGTGTGAGGGGTGGTGGGGTCGGGGGAGACAAAGCCAGAGACGCCAGCCAGTGGACAGCGAGACACCCACAGAGGGAAAGACAGACGGGGAGAAAGGAGGGAACAGAGGGGGGGGATCAGAGCGAGGTGGGGAGGGCAGGCTGGGTCTGATGTCACGGAGACACCAAGCCTTCTCACATATGAAGGGAGGAGGCTCGGAAGGAGAAAGAACAGCCGGAAGCCACGGGAAACTCGAAGGCGTCTGAGAGAAAGGCTGGGCCGGGCGTGGGCCTGCTGGCTCTGATGGGTCTGAAGGTCACAGACACTTCAGTTTGAAGCTTAGTGTTATCATTCCATACATAGTCTGAAGAATCAACTAGCGGGTTCATCACTACTTACAACTCTTCAATTCCTTCTGTTCACATTTTTTTGAAATTCCATCTGAATGAGATAATGAGATACAAATCACTCCCCGCTGCTGCAGCCGTGACCCACGGCAGCCTCAGGCGTGAGATCACCCAGAGCATGGCTGCGCGGAAGGTGTGAGCTGCACCATTTTCTCCTGACCTCACTTCCCGACCCGGCTCCCACCTGACTGGAGCTCCTGGAAGCCAAATTTCCCCTGAAGGCAGTCTCTCACTTTGGGACACATTCAGATTAAAGCACCTATGAGGACACAAGTCCAAAGAACCCGCCCATCTATCACAGCTTCAGAACGGTCTCTTTCCACAGAACAGAAGCGATCCTATCCAGGTTCCTCTTCATCTAAAAACTCTATTCATTTTCTTTTGTGGGAGAGCTTTCCAGAAGCCCTGACAACCTCCTCTCCTGTGTGAACCATTCACTCAAGCTTTCAAACGAGGACCCACCTGGGTCTCTCTGAAGCCACCGCCACCTGGCTGCAAAGTTCCAGGGAGCCCGTCCTTGTAGAGGGCTGAATCCTGTGCTCAGGGGATGCTTGAAGAACTGAGAATTGCAAGTAACCCTGGATCAAGCCCTTTTGTGACCGTCCTCATAAAGTTATGTGCCACTTGGCAAGAAACTTCCAACTTCCTTCCAACCGTTTCCTCACTCTTCTCCCACACCCAGTGAGCCTCCCTTGGTCTGCCGGAGTGTGCTGTCTGTTAGCGCTTGGAAGCCTTTCCTTGCGTCTTCCAGACCAAACTGACTCGGGTGACAAGGAGCCACTGTCGAGGTCAGAGCAACCACTGCTACCCAGACCTTCCAGCCATCTCGCCAAAGCCTCTAAAGAAGACACGGTTGTGACATGTGGCGAGGGCGTCATAGAAAAACTCTCAGAATTCATTCAGAGCAATCCCAGTGAGGTTACAGATCTAGCTAAACTAAAAGAAAAGAAAAGAAAAGAAAAAAAACCAGGGATTTTCTCCTTATTTCTGCAGTTGTGATTACACATGGCTGGTAAAATGGCTGAAATGCTATTGATATTGCGGCTTTTAAACTCTACAGGTGTTAACTCTTAGTGTACGATGCTTTGAAGCAGTAAGAGCTTTGAAATTACGATGATGAAGAGTTTTAGCATCAAGGTTGGATCGGTATCTAGTGATCAGTATGTCTGCCTTAGTAGTAAAGATTTTTTTAAAAAAATCTGAATTCCATTAGAACTCAAGTTTGCCATTTGACTTTTGAATTCAATGCGCTGTGCCACAAGCTGGACTGCTCTGTGTTACGTACTGTACATTTCAGGTGTACCCAAGGAGAAAAAAAAATGACTAGCACTATTAAAGAATATTGCCAAATTGCCACAGTTGCAGCTTAGAAATACTAACTTTCTTCTCTTATTTCTTAAAGTACATATTACAACTCTTCCATAACTTAATGCAAACGAAGTCGATTCATTTCTTCTCACATCTTAAAGCAGAGATCTCTTTGTTCACATGCGAGAATAATAGTCTATAGTAATACCCCGGCCCTATGGGCCAGTACTTTATATTAGGACATCATAATGAAATAATGATCTAGAAAGAGTCAGAGAGACCTACACACTGCTACTGACGCAAAAAAAAATCCGCTGGGAAGTTTTCTCTTGTAAAGAAGATCTAAGATAGGAGGAATAGGACCGAGGGGGGCGAAGTGACCCCAAAGTGGGCTTCTAGTCATTAGGAAGAAAACAAAGCCATTCTATTGCAAGATACAGATCAAAGGTTAAAAGGCAAATTATACTACATTTAGAGAATAAAGATGTAAGTCATTCTCCAGCCTCAATACGGCCCAGCTGCACGTATGAGCGCACAGTTTGCACCGGCCGTAGGAAAAAAACATCATGGAAAAACCACTGACTGAAAAAATGACCAAAAAACCTCCTTTCCCTTTTTTCAGTGGCATCGTTTGGCGTCTCTGGATGTGGTACCGATTTAGGCTTGAACCACCCAAGACCATCACGCTGTCTCATGTCCACGGCTCGACAATACCTCTCAGTAGGACGCTGTTTCGAGGCTAGCTAATTTTAAATCTGGGATGAGTAATGCAGCCAGACCTAGTTAGTATGCGAGAGAAAGTCGTTGCTAACGCGGGGTGAGAAGAGGTGATGTCACAGCATGAGCAGTCCCTGGATGTCCCGTTGTCGGATGAAACGTAGTGCATAGATCCAAGTTTCCACTCCGGGTCTCCGGACCCCGGATCCGGGCCGTTCACTTCTGCTGGCTGGCCTGGAAGGCCTTCAGCTCCACCTGGTACCACTCGGGGGCTTCGGGCCCGCTCTTCCCCGGGGGGCTGTGGTCGTAGCCGTAGGCGACCGTGAGCTCCTCGCCGGCCTCCACGGCGCGCAGGGTGCGGATGCATTTGATGGGCCCGAAGCGCGGGTGCACAAACCTACACGCCAAGACGCACAGTCACCCTGGGCCGGGCGGGGGGG